AAGCGTGAGATTTTTACGACGGAAAGAGAATTTTATAAAGAAAAATATCGAGAGGATTGATAGAGAGAGAAATCAAATCCGTTGAGAAAATTCTTGGCGACATTTCAAATTTGCATATTCGATTGTAAGGAGATGCGTGGGTGGTATGATTGGTATAAATTTTTCTTTTTAGAATTCGTGTTATAATCTCACTATAATTATACTATAATTTTAATTTCGTTTCAATTTGAAAAATTAAGAAAAAACGATAAATTTAAAAACTACAAATTTTTAAAAAATAAATTGAAATGTATCCGAGTATATTCGACGACAATAAACATACAATTAATCACGCAAGTAATAAAATTATTGGAACTCGAACGATTTTAAAATCTATCCAAAGAAATATCAACAATCGTCGACACGCGCGATGTCAACACACCGAATTCTTCGCAATAACCTCAGTTCACCGCGAGTCTTTATTCGACGCGTATTAAATTTTACGTCGTTCGTAATCGTATTTCGATTAATTTCGCATTAGAATTTTTATCGTGGGTAGATAAAAAAACGAAGCGCGGTTCTGTGTTTCGTATACAATAACGAATAAGATATATAATTCGATGTGGTTCTTTTTTTCGGTAAAAGAATATTTTTTACATCCATACGTGTCGTTTGAACTTGTTTGTTAATTTGTTTATCGGTAGCACGTCCTTCGAAGTACACGCGATTGGCTAGTGTTTCTTAATTAATAACTCGAGTTAAGAAAATTGAAACGAAAGTTTTTGAAAATATCGCTTGAATTTGGAAAGAAATTTCGAATTAACCGATGTTTCCATGTGTTTTTAGGACACGCCCGCGTTCAAATTGGTTCTCTTCTTACCTGTAGACCGACGTACCGAGGTCCTCGCGGTACCAAAGCACAAGGTGCACCGAATCTCCTTCCTGTGTGGTTGATATGTCGCATGGAAGGTACGTGGGATCACCGACCAGTGCCACGATGTGCGATATAGGAACTGAAACAAAGAAATAAATAGAATTCGTTAATAATCGATTTTTAATACGTGAAATATAGATTTTGAAATATTTATCGAATTAATTTTCCAATCGATATTTCATATTTTGAAACTCGATGATTTTGGGTTTTGGGATAAACGATCGAACCGGTGTGATTGATGTGCACAGATGATGCGATAATGTGATCTTTATAGCTTTTAAACTCACGTGTATAGCGCGTAATTTTGTTATAAATGTAAGAAAATTAGTTTATAATTTATTATCACGACTCGTCATGTTATATGTTAAAGCTACATATGATATGATGATTAATAATTTGTATCTTTATGATAAATTGGCAATTAATCGAGATCGATTTATTTTCATACGCTCTGCATATTGTATTATTGTATTATTCAATAATAGATATGCAATTAGTTTTACTTAGAAAATTTTCAGATAGGATATAATTATTTAGGGATAGAAATTTAATTATTTTTATAATGTTACTTTAGTCATTTGAGTATATTAAAATATATGTATTACAATTGATAATTTTAGCATACTTTAGGATAGCATATTTTAATCATTATCGTTTAAATTAACGAGAAATAGGAAAATTTTTTGGATGAAATGAAAGAATTATTTGTTTCTATTTAACGTCGAGAAATTTTTTTTTTAAATTTGCGAATATACATTCGACTCGTGTCAATCAGATAGAAATATATATATATATATATGTAGAGGTAGCGTTGAAAGGTTGAAAATATTCTGATGAAAACATGTCAGTCACGTTATTCTGAATAGTGATTTATATTTCGTGACTTCGGATCAAGGAACGAACTTAAGATTTATGGGCTGTCTTCTTCGAAAGCAGCGAATCGTGCAACGTCTCCGTAATGCACACCTGCATGTTTATACGCGAGAGTGCCGTGGGGCACATGCAAAATTCAGAGAATCGGTCCAGGAAATATCGTCCTCGGGGAACGTTTTCGTGAAAATAATCGCGATTTATATTTTGTTTCGAGAGTTAAATACAATGGCGATATAACTACCAATATCTACTTTTTAATCGGTTATTCAATATGCAGGTGAAGCAATATCAAAAAATTATTGTAATTTTCAAAAAATTTCGATACTGAAAAATAATCGAAAGTTGATATCGATATTTTCATACTAAATAAGGATACTTTTACTTACAAACTTTCAAATATTTCAAGTCATTCACTTTTCAATTTCTTACACTTTCTCGTCCGTTTTCAAACTGATAATTACACCGAACGAAAACGTTCTCGTTTCCTGAAGAATCGATCTCTTGGAATCCACGACTCTCGGGAAAATACTTTTTTTTCAAATTCCTGGATCCTCTTTTTTTTCTTTTTACGGCTCTGCACACAATCATTAATCTTTCAAAGATTCCATCTCGTCGTTCAGTTGAAAATTCCAAAAGTCAACGAGGCAAGAAAGTTCGGGCACGTCTCACGAACAAGATAATGCTCGTTCGAGAACGTAGGTTCCCGTGAAAGCTCGTTTCTCGCGAAATCTTGCTTGCTCCGCGGCTCGCACGAGATCATTCCATACTTAACCAGTCGTTTTAACGGAGAACAAAAGACGTGGAACGTAAGAAAAAGGGAGCGTAACGAAACGAAAGAACACGCGAAGAAATACGCGAAAATAAAACGAAACTCGCGTTGTCCCCATCTCGTCGTCGTAAAGTCTCGAGTTGTCCTCCACCGACCCAGATATGCGTTCTACGCTTAAAGACGAACGTACGGAAGCGGAAGTAGTCGTTGCAGAGTGCCATCCACGTCGAAAAATATTCTCCTTCCCGTTATCTTCGAAATAAATGGATATTGCCGCGAGGGAGCGATCGCGGAACACGTTTGATAATAAAGAATTGTGGGTTATTTATCGCAGTGAATCGCGTCTATTATGGCCAATTTCGTGATTAATTGGGACGAATCCGTTAAGAATCTTGGATAGTGGTATTTAAAGAGAGTTTATTCGCCGTTTGAAGATTTTTTAGATTTAGGAAAGGATCGTTTTTGAATGAGTTATTCGGTTCGGACGATTTTTTCGACGATTTTTAACGATATTTGAAATTTAAATT